CAGGGGCTAATCCGAACCTTCTTCTCGAGGTTTCATTGATAGCGGACTCGGCTAGGTAACGTGTAAAGCCAGTCGAACCGACGTCTCAGTTGTAGTTTTCTAATGGAGTATACAACAAACGGCTCCACCAATTTGCGTGACACAAGGCAAGCCTATGGATTTGTAATAATCTTATAAGGGAGCATCACACGTAAGAGGGAGGAACCTATCTGTACGGTCAGTACAGCATACACCTGACATGCTACTCAAACTGCTAATGATCTGGTCATCTGGATATGACCCTGCCGTAAGGGGCCCCGGTCATACTGGATACCAGGTTATAAGACGACAAGTATTCGATATTTTCCGCGTCCCCATAGATACTCAACACCTATAATGATCGTCCCGAGGGGATCATACCGGGAGAGACAAACGTAGTCGGTACAGCAAAGGCGCATCCTATACGATGAACATCAGAGATAGTAATATCACATAAAATAGTTTAGCGCAGCAGACTCTGTAGGTAATTCGGAAACGTTAACACCTGGGCTGAGTAGAGGCTATCCTGTCGCATGCGGGACCGTAGCGAAAGCGTGAATTAGCTATACGACCCCTCCTACTGCGCGCCATCTCTAGGCCTGATATGCATTAATCCAAACACGGGCTTTGCGGAACGGTAGCGCTACTATTATACTGATCTGCGCTTATGTATGCATCGAAAACGAGCCTAAGCCCTAACTTGTTCGATGACCTCCTATTAAGTGTCCGACAATAGAATATCACTGCAAGCAATGCGCCTTGAACGGTTTATGAAACGGTCGTGTCCGCCACAGGCACGCGGATCATCAGACGAGCATAATAAATGAACAAATAGCGACCAGGGAGCTTTGCGATGTTGGGCTATACCTCCATACTTTAGCAAGCGATCTTCCGACTGCCGTAGGCAGTTTTGAAGTGTGCCCGATGCTGTGACTAGAGATCAGCTTCGGAGTTATCCGCCGTCCCCGCTTGACTCACATCTAAAGCGTGTTTACCATGACATATAGCTCAGGGAATTTAGTATGGGGAGCCTGACAATTAAAATATGTTGGGTGCTTCCCCTAGTACTCATAAACGCCAAATGGGTGCGGCCCTGCGCCAGGTGGCGGTGGGGACCCCCAAACCCAGCCGCTGGTGGAGCATCGCTAGTAGGGTCGGCTGGGCTTTACCTGGCTATTCTGGACCAGTTAGTAGGAGGGTTTGCCCCGGTTTCGCGAACCTGGGAACGTTACCGAAGTGACCTAAAAGATAGTCCTTCTAAGGAGGCCAATGAGCCTTATGTTAGATGAGGAGAAAACCAATGAAAAAGTGATATAAGCCTTTTGTCTCCGTGCTAGACAAAAGACACTTCCTGATCAGGGGACGACTTATATGACGAGTCGGTATTTCACTGTCACGAAACTGAATATGTGTGGGGAGATAAGTCCCCGTAGCACATCACTCTCAAGCATGTGACGATACACCAGCGAAACGCTTTTAGGAGCTCAGATTCATTGATAATAGTGCGCGGGTGTTTGTCGGAAGTGACTCAAGTCCATGTAACGCACTGTCCTCTTAAGCCGTGGAAATTGACATTTGGGAGGTTCTCACGCCTGCACTATCCCAGGTGAACCCTATGGAAACTTTCGAACAGAATGACCAGGCTTTCGCGCCACCGCATGCAGGTGGCTAAGATTTATCCTGATTGGAATCGTATCCGGGACATTCAATAATTGAATGGCCGACGAACTCGACTTCGCCGCGCGGCGTCTCATTATACTGAAACCCGCACACAGCCAGGACCTGTGGTCACGTCGCCTTCGCCATGAGGTATCTGTCGGATGAGTGTGGGGTTCCAGACTTTCCCTAGAATGCACAGGTGTTCTATGTTGCAAGTCCAACTCAATTCTTCAAGCCTATGCTTAAGAGGCATGCGATGTCGAGTTAAAACTAGTGATAATCAGTTAGCTAAAACCTGGACTAATTCCATAAATGGATGCGCAGCGAGGTCTAATAGTCTTTCATGTCGCGTTCTAGGTTTTGGACTCTACACCTGGGGCTCCGTAGTTTCCGGTGAGGTTGAAGGTGTCGATACATCTCTACCAATGCTAAAGATAATGAACTCTGTCCAGATGACGTCGAGACCCACTACTGCGCATTACTGTACAGGCTGTGGTTAGCCATTGTTCGAGCTTCGTACATTAAAAGAAACATTTACTCATGAACTCGCTGGTTATTCTGTCGAAGGCTGAGTTGAATACTTCTACCACCACCGCGTTGGTGCAACAGAGCCACGTTTGCAATAAAGTTTTACGTAAAGTAAGTCATCCAAGCCTCGATCGGGGACGGCCACAATCGGCGCCTCCCTTATAAACGGACTGGAACTCAATACATTCCGAGCGTGGGGATAAACCTGAGCATTCGAATACCCGCTGGGCAAGGGGTTTTAGTCGCACTGCCCTCTTGGAGCCAGCATACGTTAACCCGACAAGAATGAACACTTATGCAATCATGTGGACAGATGTAGCATGCTATCCTTCAAAGTATGGGTATGTCGGCTAGGTTATAGCGTTCGTTAGCAGTATTGTCGGATCAAATCGAAAATCGACATTCCCATCGTAATGAAGGGGTAAGTAATTCCGCTGGTGTCACAGGCAGCAGATACGAATCGGAATAAGCACGTCGTTGAGCCCATGAACTAACGATGAAAGTGACTAAGAGGTCGGCGAAGTTAGTAACTGGAGTGT